AGCTAGACTTCTCATGCTTTTTTTCACTTTATTTCTCATTTTCTAGCTCCGCACACCTGTCATAACACTAGCTTGGAGAGAGTAAAAGTGGCGACACATGAAAGAAATGTATCAGCAAAAGAGATATAAGGACTTGAAGTTTGTCCTGGGAAAACAATAGGTGTTTACAGCTTAACATGACGATAAATTGGACATTTGGTGTTGACAGTTTAAAACAGCTTCTTTTGGGGTTGTTTACAGTTTAGATTAGGGCCTGAATTAGGATTATCCTCCTTTGGTATCCTGCTACCATGTTAAGCTGCTCAGTTCTTTCTCTCGGAAATTAAGAACAAAAATCGCAAACAAACAAAGGGAAGGCGAGAAAGAGCGAGACATGCATGCATGTTTGTGTGTGAGTGTGTGGTGGGGGGTTCTGAACACACGATAAACATTTCAGATTTGAGGTGGAATCGCTCTCCAAGGAAACATGTTGTTGTCAGGGGCACCACAGGGGAGCGAGGGGTTTAAAGGTGGGAGGGATGGATCACTGTCGGAGAAGTTCACACACATCTAGAGAGACTTAAGACACGTGAGTGTGTTTCAAACACATTCATGAGCGGAATAGGAATGCAAACACACAATAGCATGACTGTAATTTACCACAAAAGCAGCCAGGCAGGAGGTGAGACAGGAATACCAATCGATCCTCGTTACCTTTTAACATCTTGTCTGCACCAATCACAGAAAAGGTCAACGCTGGACTCCGGCAGTTTGAGGGTCATGTTGAATCTACGTTTGTATCTCATCAGACTGATCAAATTGTCTCGACATTAAAGTCAAGATTCATTTAAGCAGCAAAGTGGATGTGGACACCAAAGGAACAACATTCAAAATGAGTTCCTGTTTAGTTTTTTTCTAACATCCCTCAGTTTTCTTACCCTGCAGCTCTGCTCTGCCTCGCTACAGTATTGATTCCCAGGGATCTCAACCTGCCCTCAGGACTGTAGGTGAGAGAGCTGTGGTCAGCCAGTCCAATTAAAGAGACAAAGAGAAGGGGAAAGAGGGGAAGAAGGAAAGAAAGAGGAGAGAAAAGCTACAGCTAAAGGCTCCTGAAGGCCCCCCTTGCACCACACCCTGTTTGGCATGAAAGGGGACCCCCCTTTTCTCCCTAAGGCAGCTCACAAGGAAGAATGTTTTTGAGCGAAATAGGAAAGGGGGGAGCACATGGGAGACTCCCACCCTGCCTCCTTCATCACTCTCTGCTATGATTTTATTCCCAGCCCAAATCAACCCACAGACCTATAGACACACAGCACAGCTGCGTACAAGTTCAAAGTAAATGTGAACAGAGCACGATCAAACAATGCAGAGATGATCGCCTATTGACTGTGAGTGATGGCTGAAGGAGCCAGTGGGCTGCTGATAATGTGTTTCCTCTAAGGAGACAGTTTGCTGGCGGGGTAACTATGGTGAGAGTGGACTCCTCCGTCCTCTGCCAAAACATCCCTAGTGGATGAATGGATGTGAGCATGTGCCCATCCTCTGCCACCTTCATGCAGAGAGAAGAATGATTTCTTCATTATCCCTGCTTCTCTTTTCTCAGAAATGACTGCGCAGAATCCTTTTAAGAAAGAGAGACGGAGCAGAGAAAAAGGAGAAAAGACGAGTGCGGGTTGATGGGAAGAAGTCTGTCGAATTCCAATCATCCCCCCCAACAGGATGTGGATACCCCCAAATGTTCCCTAAATATCTCGGCACAATCTGTGCTCTTTGTTAGACAGAGATAACACGACCCACTGTCTGTGACTCACTCACACGAAGGGGTTTATTCATAATGTGTGCGCGTGTGTGTTGTATAAGTCTGTGTGTGAAGCATAAGAAGCAGAAAGGAGGGTTGGGCAGAAAAATATAGAATTTATGTTGTAAAGAAAATAAAAAGATCGTTCTTAAAGATGTTGCAGTAGTGTATGTGTGAGGAGGATGTGGGTGTGTGGGTGTGTGGGTGTGTATGAGTGACAAAGAAATAGAGCGGGAAAGGGTTAGAAAGAGAGAGAGAGAGAGAGAGGGAGAGAGAGGTGCAGTCTTTTGTTTTCCCGTGGGTGTACTGCAGTAACATAGTAATCCTCATTAATATTTATCTGCAAGGCAAAGTGGAGAGAATGATTAGCTTGAGAGTGTGTGTGTGTGTGTGTGTGTGTGTGTGTGTGTGTGTGTGTGTGTGTGTGTGTGTGTGTGTGTGTGTGTGTGTGTGTGTGTGTGTGTGTGTGTGTGTGTGTGTGTGTGTGTGTGTGTGTGTGTGTGTGTGTGTGTGTGTGTGTGTGTGTGTGTGTGTGCGTGTGTTCTGGAGTGCACGCCCCTGTGTGCTTGTGTGTATAAGATATTACAGCATATAACATATGAACTAGGTCAACTTCTATACTTAAGAGACTAACAAATCCTCATACTTCAAAGCTTTTGTGTCATCGTGGGGGTTTCTCACTGCACAGCGTGCACAGTAAATAGTCTTTTTTAATTATTCCAAGCACACATATTAAACCCAAAGATTACGCACATACATTCTCACACACACAAAGCCATGAAGAAGCTACCCGCTTTCATCCCCCTCTCGAGTCACGTTATGTTCTGTTATTGATTTCCCTGCTTGCACCTCTAATACAATCACATTAAACTAGACTGATCGGAATTGAATTTCAGACTGGGTCTATACAGGTATGTCACTTATAATCTCCGTCACAGTGGGTGTGGGTGTGTTGCAAACGAGCCTTTAAGAATATTATGCCTGCAAAAGATGCCTGTTTGTTTTAAAGTCAGAATAAGTTTAGAAGTATACCTGTACAACTTCACCTGTGTGACAAAGGCTTTTTATCTCCTCTCCTAAACACAACGGTTTTGGTGAATTTGTGTTCAGTAGTGCCACAGCTGAGAGTGTTCTTGTGAATTTATAGTGTCTGTGACCCATTTCCCTCCACTGCTCTCCCTCTCTCCCTCTCTGACTTGCCTGCACTCTAATATAAAACGCCTGAGTGGAGATCAGAGAGCAGGAGGAAGATTGAGAGATAGAGAGAGATATGAGGGAGAGATGAAAGAGTGAGAGAGACGGAGAAAGTAAGAGGGTGGAAGATAATACTGAGAGCAGGAGATGGAGTCAAGAAAATGAACCCTTTTCCTTTTTCCTGTCTGTGTCAGGACCTTACTACTGACTGGGTTTGAAGTTTATTCATCATGAATATGCGGATAAAAACGTCTGAGAAATAATAGAATAAAATGTCTTACTTTTTTTCTAATCATTTCTCCCCATCACAAGGCGGATTGTAACATCCCAAATGAGGTCTTCTTTTCTCTGTCTTGTTACTGTGGTAACCGCCGGCCAGCTGATACTGTGGTGCCGACTGTTTACATCACAGGGCCTGTGTGACCTTTCCCAGGATTCAGCGGGACATTGCACACACAGAGAATCATGGGAACAGTGCACTGTCACACCTAACCTCCCGCCCCCTTCCCCACCACGACAAATATTTACACCCCTCATAAATTACAGTGTCTGGGAGGTGAACGTCTCCAGCATTCGTGTGTCGCCCCGTCTAAACCCGGATTCAGTTTGGAAAGTTCACACTATAGGAATACCGCACATTCCTCATGGGTTTCTCAAGACACCACTGAGAGCAATGGGAGGCCCTGAGATAGAGGCAAACTGTGGAAGAGGGGATTTTGAAGAATGTGTTTGCGAAATACAGTAAGCCTAGGTTCACAAATATGCATGTTTATTGCATATTGGGAACTAGGATGTGCAGTTAAACTCCTGCAATCTATTCATCTAGCAATCTGTGGAAAAGACGGAGAGAAATAGAAAGTGGCAGAGAGAGAATTAAAGAAAGTATAAACTTTGTATAGTATACTAAAGTTGATTTATGCTATAGCCGTAACTCATTCATGGTCATATTGACATGCAGCAACAAACAAGGCTATGAGCATCATACATTTTATAGGCACACACACATACAGTACACACACACACTCAGCAGTACATGAGTGACCTCTTGCATCGATAAAGCCCTCCATTAATCAGTGTGGGCTACCAAAGACCATTTAATCCACCTACAGGCAGATAGGGTTTGGTGGGAAGGCAGAGAATTACTGTACAGTTCAGTTATTGAATTTTCTCTATTGATCAAGGCTTTCAGAGGAAAGTGAAAATAGAAAATCAGCTTGGCTATATAAAACCATCCGATATTTCAGCTTGTATTCTGTTTAAGTGTTAAGACTGACATAAGAAGTCCTTAGTGACACAGGAGACGAAGAAATGTCTGTTGGAGCTGAAAAAAGGCATGTTCCTGTGTTCGATTTCAGAATGATTTAAAATGTTTATCCCACACAAACCAGTGAACATAGATTATTTAAGCTGTTTTAGCAGTATTAGTAGGCCAATAGTTTATTACAGACTGGCACACACAGACTGTAGCCATGGCATTGGTTGTATGTGGGGGTTGTATTGCCTCCATGTGGCCATTGTTGCAAATGAGTGTGTTTAAGCAAAACTGTCATCAACTTTGATGACATTAATCATATTATGATTGGGAATTCGGTTGAAGAATAATGTGGGGAGTTGTAGAGTAGCAGATAAGAAAAATATTCATGATTGTTTTGGGAGTCAGGTCAGGATACTCCAGCCTGGGAAAAACTGGCTAAGAGGAAAAACATCTCCTTTTTTATAAACATTCTGGCTACGATCCCACTGCTGTTATTTGGTAGCATACTTGTGAATTTGGGGACTAGCGTTTTATGCGTGTGTGTGTGTCTTCTTTAATCATTCAGATAGTATCCAGTCAGAGCAGGTGAGAGGAGGTATGCAGCCTGAACATACACCCCTGTCTCCTTTAAATGTGAGACAGTGAGAGAGCTGTTGCTTTCAATCTCTCTCTGTGAGCTGCAGTTAGAGAGTGCATATCGCTTTAAAAACAACTAGCAGTCAGGGAGACAGAGACCGGCTGCATTTCCTTAGTGGGAATGTTTGTGTTTGTGGCGCACAGACCAACGGACGAAGGGTGCATTGCTTCAGGGAGAAGAAGTGGAGAGGAAGGAGAGAGGAAGAGTCAGCAGGGGCCACTAGCTGTGTGGGACGGGGACAGAGGGACCAGGAGGGTTTGACCTTGAAAAAGGCTTCAGACCGCAGAATACAGGACAGTGAGAGACAGAGGACACAGAGGAGACTATATCTGTGGCTTACCTCTGGAGCTGACCCAAATATTCTCTCCTTGTGGTGGCATCAGGAGGGCAATAGAGGCTAATTCCCTCTAATTGCCTGGGCCTCTGTGGATTTTACCTGTGATGGCTCACCTGGGCTGATAAATTAATGAGATGCCTGTGGATATAAACTCTTACTGCTGCATTTTACACACCTCGGAAGTGTCAAAGAGTATGCAGTGAGGTCAGTAATGGAGGCTGTGATGTTTGGTCTAGACGAGGCGGTTTGCAATCGGCGTGGTCTGCTGTGGACTCTCACCTCAACAGCCCTCCGACGCCTGTGTGTGCATGCAAGGAACCTGCCTGCACCGCTGCATCTTTTACACACACACAGGTGTGCGTCAAGGCCACTCTATCAGGTATGCTGCAACTCATATACACACAACGGGTACCCATGCAATGGAAACTTATTAAAACTTTAATTTAGAATACTTAATGAAGCAATTACAGTATATTTGCAACCACCTAAAATATGCAAGCTGTGCCACCTAAAGACCTACCATTAATTAAGCATCTCAGCATTGTGTCAAGGTTTGGGACCGGAGGAGAGAGGCAAACAGTGAACAGTTTATACTGAAAGCGAGGTACAGTATGTCCTGCAGGCATGGACAGAAACGGGGGCTAAACAGGACTGATTTGTTTCATTAAGCACGGAGGATAGAACTTGGAACTTGGTTTGATGTTGTGGCAGTGCAGTGTTCCTAGTGAAATTGGACACTTGCGGAAATAGTTTTATAACACAGAGCTCAGGTGCATGTGGAGTGTGGTGCTGCCAAAAAAAATGCTTTGTTTCACATTGTTGCCCTGTGTGGAGAGTTCCTTTGGTAGTTTTTGTTGTGCTCAGGATGCAGAGCCTTAACAGGAAGTTGTGTTGCTAGGGTCGCTATAAAGGAGACGGTAACCAAGCTGTTAAGCTGGTAAGTTTTTCTATGGATATGTGAAAGGGGGAATCTTGCACACAGAACACACACAGACACTGTTTTATAGGCTGTCGGTCACCATGCCTCCATCGCCTTAAACATTCAATCTAACTCTGGCGACGCATTAAATGTGTCTTCTTGGTGAAATAATTATCCTAATTGTGTTACTAAAAGCAGCTTTCTCTTTTGTGCCTTGTGTTTTCCTAGCTGTGATTCAGCAAAATGCTTGATCAGTATTCCCTTCACCATGTCTGGATTGGTACTCAGGGCTTTCATGGAGCCATTAGTATTCCCCAGGCGTCTCACCTGCCCTGTATGCAGCTGGAACAACCAGGACAAACCCAGCAGTCTCACAAAGTGAAACTTGTACACACTTTAGCACATACAGCATCAGTGAAGTCACTTTAATACATGTACATAACAAGGCAAACCCAAACACACCGTGTGCCTTTCCCTGTCCTCTTGCCCTGATTCCTTTATTCTCAAGAGGGGAATAAACTGGATTGTTATTTTAACTTTTTTCTTCAGATGGGTTTTTATGTGGCTCCTACGTTTAAGCATCCTGAGGGAGGGCAACACAATCAGAGGAAACTGAAATAACATACTAGACCTCCCTAAGACAAATCTGTCCTTAACACCCCCTCCTGGTTTAGAAATGCACAACTCCTTTCCATCAGATGTCTTTTAGCCTTTTCCCTTACATCCTCTGGATAACTGCTGAGAAGAGCAACAAACAATATCTCCCCCTGGTCTGATGAAGTGGTACGGTCCAAGGTGGCGCTGTTAATAGTGGAGGGAGTTGCAAAAGTAGGGAAGGAGGGGTCAGTGTGTCAGGCTGCAGGATGGGGATATCCCAGGCTCTCTGAACTGCCTCCCTGCCTGGCTTCCTCTATTACTGTTAACGAGATACCCAGCCACACACAATAGAGAGAGACAGACAGAGAGAGGGGGAGGACTTTATATATTTATATTTTATGACCCCGTTTTCACTTTCTCCACTCAGTTTTAACCTTATTCTTTCATCTTGACATAAAAATACATTTCCACTCCAGTGCGCTGCTGACCTTAACTTGGTCCCACATGTCACTGAAACTCTATTTTAGCTTTTTTTACCTTTTTTAATTAATTCTTCATCTCTTATTTAACTCTCTCTACTCTCTTTTCAACTCTCCCCGGAGAAGACATCCATCACCAGCATTCCCACACACTCAATCAGGACACCAGTTCAGTCATTGTACTGGTGCTGCAGTGTGTGACACATACGTTGAGGTGATCAATTTACACCTCGCGTGTTACGCGGAGCAGCGCCCGGTATGATTTAGCCACAGCATTACAGTAACCAGCAGACTGAAACATTTGCGAAGTGTTGTTTGCTCACATGTCTCTCATGAGAAAACGCAGCCGCATGTTCACACTTTCAGACATCAAGCTGAGTAATATTGACTCAACAGCCTCTAGTCACACATTTTCCTCTGGTGGTATGACCCTTAAAGAAGGGTTAGTACTGTGAGGCGTGTGAGGGCAGTGCTCTGCTGTGCTGTTAACAGCGTCTCTGGGTAATTGTGCATTGTGTCACTTCTTAGGTTGATTTCAATAAGGATTTGATTTCATCCTTGGTTCTTTCATCTCTTGTCATTTTCCTACCAGTCCCTCCTTATCTCCACCCTACCCCATCCTACAGGCAGGATATCCTGCATGGGGAAGCAGGGTTAAGGACTATAGCAGACACAGGTGCTCCGACTTCCCCCTGAGTTGCAATAATTCCTTATCTACCTGTATTCATCACAATCCTGCAAATCACAAGACTTACTACGAGCTGTCATTTTGTTCTTAAGAATGTGAAGTGACATGTTGTTGAGCAAAGCGCGTCCTCAGCGTGTTCAACATCCTCGTATCCTAGATAGACAGAGTTTATTTCCTGTTAGTGGGCTTGCTAATAACTGCAGCTGACAGGATGCTGGCTCTCCTCGGTGTCAGATTAATTTAGATTCAAGCTGTTTCCTAGCAACCCAATTCCACTGTAAAGTTTTATACATATTTAAAATCTCGCATTATGTCACATCTATCACACATATTCATTAGTCCTCACTGCTCCGTTAATTGCAGGCTCTCTTGCATTTAGGAATGAAGCCCGGGCCAGTTTACTCCCACTGAGCTAATCTGGTCCTGTTTCCTGTGAGAATAGCGCTGTCACTGATCATATTCATTTCCCACTGACGAGTCCCAGACCATTGATACGAGGCAGAGACACAGCAGAAGTCTAAAATAACCCAGATACACAATCCCCCCTCTGTCTAGAAGCTGGATCATTGGTGTTCCTTCTGTTACTTCCTTTGTTTTTGGTCTGATAAGCTTTTGGAGCTCAGTCTGTTTTCAAGCAAGTGGTTTTCTTGGAAGAGCTGTCCACTGTGATTGCCAACAGCTCCCCTGAATCAGGACGTGATTGTACTCGGCTCAGGTTGTTAAGCCTCTATTACTCTCATGTTCAATATGTCATTTGTTCTCATATTCCACTGAAGCAGTCGTAAATAGATGGACTCATGACGGGCAGGCAAATATCCAGATAGGGATTTCTGCATGTCCTTGTTAATTCCCAGTCTTATTCCCTTTTTCCGTGTTTTCCAGCCAAGTAATTATTAGATAGAGGCTGGAATTGAACTTGTGACCTCCTACTGAAGAATGTTGATCACTCTCCCTGTCTGGCAGCCATCTTGGTTCTTATTGCCAAACTCAGGATCCGTTTGTGAGAAAGTATTTTCCCATAACCGTCGTTTGGTGAGGGGAGGGTCGGGAGCCAGATCGGACATTGTCTCAACTATTTCCAGCACTTTGTTTATTTTTTTTGTAATTTTCTAATTTGTTTTCAACGAGCCGTAGGCATGTTTGTGTTTGATATCCCTGCATACAAACACCCCTGTGTAGATTCTGTTGGTGGTTGAAGCTGTTTACAGTGTCTCCCTGGGGACAAGGTCTTATTCACATAGTTGGTCTGGAAAACATTTCCACTGCTCCGTTCCCAGGTTTATCAAATACCCAGTGTGTGAGTGTAAATGAGTGTGTGAAAGAAGAAAAATGGAAGAGGGGGCGCAGGCTTGTTGATGTTTGATGTCTTAATTTAAGGTTCCTGTAGAGATTCATCAACAGTTCAACCATGGGAAACAATTTCCTCACCGCTCCATAAATCATAAATGAAGACAAAAATTGCATCTGTCACTCATGTTTTGTTGATATAAATGTGTTTGACGAGTCGCCTGGTGATTTGCAGGCCTGTCAAATGTTAAAAATGTAAAGCACAACCCCCCTCCTCACTCATGTGCCATGTCATTTAGATAGTGTGCACCATAAGCTTCTTAGCCATGCTAGAATCTAATTTATGTGGTAACGTGTGAATATGGCACACTACTTGATAGGACGGCCACTATAGCTAGATTAATTACAGACGATTGCATGCTCACAGCGTGCCACACAGTCATCCCAAAGGACTACTCAGATTCTCAGATTCAAGGCCTTTTATTTATTAAAACAGGATGGTTTTCCTATTTTGGCTTTTCCAGCAAACTTACAATGGAAACCACAAATTATTGTTGCATGCAACCCAAAAATATTCACAACATAAGCCCCACTGACAGTGTTTTTGATTGCCAGATTTGAACACGGTCCCGGATATCAGTTGCCATGTTGGAGACTATTCAGATGTTAAATATGATGAATACACGGATTGTAGAATTTAGCTTTTGGGTTATTGGGCCATGGTTGAGCGGCCTACTGGATACATCTGGCTGGTATTCCTCTTAATCCTCTAAGTGTGTCTGAGTCGTGGCCAGAGTCAGAACTGAGTGGCCAGAGCGGACACAATATAAGGTTTTTTGGAGGTGGTCCTCTCGGTCTGAGAGAAGTGATAGGTTTAACTGTGGCATTAGTGATGGGGATGTAAGGGCTTACAATGTTTTAGGTTCAGAGGTTAGGCCCTGAGTATAGAATAGTAATCCCAGAGGATTACTAGGGGAATCTGTTGAATATCTGAGGAAATCCCTCTCAGAGACTCCCAGATCCTCTGTTTGGATATTATATCCTCTAGGAGTGTGTCCACATGTGTTTACCGAACAGAGGTTAAAAGTTGGGTATGTGTGTTCACTTTTAGATATGTGAGGAAATGTCCCATTTGCCTTAAATCAAAACTTCCCAGTTTACACCTGAGCCAGTCTGAGCACAGTTTGTATCCCTATAAAGACAGTTTATAGATACTGGACCCCTTACTGGATTAGTCCCATTTCTGCTGAATGAGAGTGGGAAATATGATGCATGTGTGTTAGGACAGGGTGGAGCTTAATCATTGATTTCCCTTATTCCTTTAGGCAGGCATTGTCAGCCACTACACTGTGTTTAATAAGTCATAATCTTTAAATAAAAGTGAAAGCTAGAGGACTCAATTTTGACTA